TGCGAAATAAGTGCTGCACCATCTTGGTCGCACGCCACGTGCACGTCGTCCAGGCATGCCACCACGTGTGCCCCTGGAAGGAGACAGTTTTGAATTGTTTCCAATGCTGAACGCAAGCCCAAGCAAAATCGACCTAGCATGAGGGCATCGCTTTGCTCGCCTCGCCGTCGTCGCCTTGGAAGATAGTATGTGCAGTGCCATCGGTGTCAGTCCAACGGAATTCCGATTGAACGTCATACCATGGCTTCGCGAAGGGAATAAGCCCACGCAGTGCCGGGTCTTGTAACAACCTGTTGAAAATGCAAGCGCGACTTATGTGATCAAACGCGCTTACGCTATCCACACATAATAATACTTTATGGGGAATGCGTCGTGAGGTATTGCAGTAAATGGACAGCAGCATCTGTACCACTACGGTCAGAAATTCCAAGAAATTGTGTGGAACCACTGCGCTGCGCATGACTTATTGGAACTGCTTCGCCAACGTTGCGACTCGGAAATACCACCAACCTGTTTTGCCAAATCTCATACAATTTCCGTTTTTTTTACCGTGTGCCGCAATGGTGGCCCAGCCCCACAAGCTGGAGGCCCAGCCTGACCAATCTATGTTGGAACTGGTAACAATGCCGATGACCCACTGAAGCCATACCATTTGTCGTCCAACCGTCCGCGCGTTGAGGCGATAAAGAAAATGATAAAGAACGTGTGATCAGTAAAAGTATGGGGCGAAAGGGATTTAAGATGCAAGTGGGGAAAAAGGGACTGGCGTGTGCCGAGCGCGCCTGTACCGGATAACTTGAGCCAAATCAAGGCTGCAGGGCTGCAAAGCTCCAGGGCTGCATGTACTGGCCCAAAGGCTGCAAGATTCAAGGCTGCAAAGCTCACCTGAAAAGACGGAAACCGGAAACCCGGGTCCCGTTTGAAGCAGTAATCCGCTGTTGCGGAAACTGAAACTCTGTTATGGAAACTCACTTGTGTCCAAACATGCGGTTTGTGATTTGTCACGTAAGGTCTGTGACTCAATTTGTGCTATCTGTGATTCGTCGCGTGCGGTCTGTGCTAATTGTGATTCGTTGCGCACGGCCTATGATTCAATGTGTGCTGTCTGTGATTTGTCGCGTGCGGTCTGTGATCTAATGTGTGTGTCTGTGATTCGGCGCACGCGGTCTGTGATTCAATCTAACTTATCTGTGATTTGGCGCGCGCTGTCTGTGATTCAATATGTATCGTCTGTGATCTGGCGCGCGCGGTCTGTGATGCAATGTGTGCTGTCTGTGATTCGGCGCGTGCGGTCTGTGATTCGCCGTGCGCGGTTTGTGATTCAATGTTTGGTCTGTGATTCCGAACTTGCTGCCAGATCTCGGTCTCGGTGGTATGCGCCATCTGGTCAAACTCCTAAACTGCTGGCCCTCGAAGGGCCTGGATATGATCAAAAAGGTCGTGCCGTTTTCTGCAAGCGTCGTAGGCGGCATGGGTTTTCGGATGCACGTCGCGCATATCTGGATGGCAACCGACATGATCAACACACCCAGGAAGATACCGATCGAGAACCAACCCCACTCAAAAGGCTATGGCCCGAAGCCGGGCGTCACATAGTATTGGGGCACGTAATGCTCGCACACCATGCCTTGTGTGCGTCCACGCATGTTTGCATTCTGTGGACATCGCGGCGGCCGCCCTGTATGAGCGTCAAGCACCCGAAGATGCCCAAGGCCAAACGGTTGAAGATGCGTTCCCGACTAGGCGCCATGGTATTTGCGCAGCCCTTTGAAATACCCATGCAATCGGCAAATTGGCGTCGGCACAGCGCGCGCGATCGCAAGGAGGGTAATCATAAAGAAATTTGGCATGAAGTGTCACCTTAGCTCACGAGCGAACTCAAGATACGCATAGACGAGTCTGCCGCGGGGCAGCACTAGGTTTACAGCATAGGTAGTGTGATATCCTAGGCCTCGCCCTGCAACGCACTGTATCTGGGTGTGCAGTGGGGCCGGGTGGAGACCTGGCGTGCACGCCCCAGAAACCCATGTGCCCATTCATTGATTTAGAAATGCTATAAGCACTTCTCTGCCGTTCCTCCTCCTCCTTTTAACGAACCTGCCGTCTCACCCTGCATTCGCCGAGCCGACGTTTGCTCGCAATGCCAATCTGTAGACTGCGCCTGGGGGGAGAAATTGTGTTGCATGTGTCGGGTTGATGTAACACGTATATATCTCCCAAATATGCAGATACTTCTTCTGCCCATGGCGGCAAGCGGACACGAATGGCATTGAGAGGCCCGTGCAAGGCAAGGCAAATTAGACTTGACATTAACGCATCATCGCTATCTCGCTAATGGAATTCGGATTGCGTCCGATACCACATGCTGACGAGGGGACCGACCCGTGCAAACCAGCGTTGCCGAACAACTGTTCAAACATGCGCGCCCTATTCACGTAAAGGCTCCCACACCGTCTGGCTTCAAACCGGTGAATGAAAAATGCATTTTGGATTCGATCGGCCGTGGGGCCTTCCAACGGAAACCAGGACAACAAAATCAAAGCCTCTTTTTTCCGGTTTGTCGGCCGCGGGGTTTTGGGAGGATCATTTGGGACGGAGGCATCATAACCTCAACTTCCCAATCGGTCGGCCGCTGGGCCTCTCAAAGGAAACCAAGTCGAAAGTTTCAGAACCTGCAACTCCGGAACATCATAACCTCAACCTTCCAGCCGGTCGGCCGCTAGGCCTCACAAACAAACCCAGGGCGACAATTTCAGAACTTGCAGCTCCATTTTTTTGGACGCCCGACATGGGCACGGAAACAATGGGCACAATGCCGAACAACAAATGTTGTCCCACACTTACAGCGGCCGCTGTTTGGCGGGCGGCCTCCTGTCTCGAATGGACACAGGCCGCGGCGGCGCGGACAGCGAGTCCTGTCCAAAATGAACAGGAACTGCTGTTGGGCATTGTACTCATTCTTTCCGTACGGCAGGTTCGTGTCGTGCCGACCCCAGCGTTGGTTTTTGACACCGCAGGGATCGTTCAACCTTGAACGATCGGCCGCTGCCGCAACGTCCGATCGTTCAACATCGATCGATTCTGGGTCGTTGGCGGCGTTCAACCTTGAACACCCGCGCTGGGGTCGCCGCGGGTCGACACGACGCAAACCTACCGTACCCATTTCGGGCGTCCAGAATTTTCCGCTCGGCTGGCTACGGGGCATCCCGGAGCTTTCAATAAAGACGTCAAAACCGAGAGTGCTGGTCGGTCGGCCGCGGGAGGCTGGGACGATGGTTTCCAAAGATCGCTGTTGCGGTCGGCCGGCCGCGAGGTATCCCAGGAGACAGATCTTGGAGGCCTGGGAATTGGCACCAACACCAGCACAGGGAGTCGCCTCCACAGGGGGAAGATGATCCTCGATTTCGGTGTAAGCCACCTTGGAAGCCAGAATATTACCACCGTCGCCGAGATCGGGATCTTCTTCCCTCGATGGAGGCACACCGCCGATCTTGGTGTTGGTCTCAACCTCTAGGCCTGCAAAAAAGGGGGAAACATTAGAATCTCGGTTCCATTCGGCTGTAGACGGGATTGCCTGGGGGGACCCAGCCCTCGCCAGCCACGGGACTAGTGGAGTTAAGAGATTTTGTCGCCGTCGGAATGCGTTGTCGTCGAAAATCTGTAAGACTTTCGTTGCCGTTTGAGCAGGTCGTCGTCGCACCGGGCTCCCCCAGAACATACAAGAATTCCCAAGGGAGGGGGTAAAGGAGAGGGGTCAAGACACCCTCCTAGATAGTAAGCCGTCTAGCTCACTCCCACCCGCCCTCCCCACAAATAAGTAAGACCCGAGTCTCCGCATGTTCAGCGATCGTCTTTGGATGGGCAGCTACAGGGAACCGAAACCGACCCCATGTGCGCGACGCTAGGGTGAGGCGCGAAACGCGTGCTAAGCGCACCACGCGCGCAAAGGACCCCTAGGGCCCAAGCGTGTCAGGCATGCCTAGTGCACCAAATGCGCCACGTGCTCCACGTGCACCAAGTGTGCCGCACACTCCAGCCGCGCCGGGTGCGCCACGTTCGGGGAATGTGCAGAATGCGTAAGGCGCGCCTGCGCACGTGACAGCACACATTGGGAAGCATGTCAGCCCCTATCATCACTGTCGAAAACTAATGTGACCATCATTATGTCTGGTGGGCTTGCTTGTGCACAGCAGGCCAATGCCACCCGTCCCTGTCAAAAACCACTTGACATCGAGGGGTGGCCGCGCGTGATCAAGATTTTTCCGTGAGGTGCATTTTGTATTGTTGTTTGAAAAGGGGTAGCGGCCCTGCGCACAGCAGGCAATATGCTGGCCCACCAGCCGTCCCTGTCAAGCAACTTTACAAAGTGTTCGCTGGTCTCACGAACATGATTCAAGACTTTGCCCCACAGTGTACTTTGTACTGCTTTTTGGCAGGGATGGTGGGACTGGCCCGATTCGGGTTGGTTGCGCATGTCCCGATTTTGGAAGCAGAATGTGGCGTGTAATTGTTTATTGCCAGGGATGGTTGGGTGTGTGTGGTTATTGGGTTGGTCTTGCTCCTGGTTGGCTGCCGGTTGCCAGGGGAAGGGGTGATTGTACTAGCACGTGCTGTCTAGTGTGATGAACGCTGATGAAACAATATCCAAACTCCAGTACATGCCTTCTCCTATGAGTTATTGGTAGCGTTCCGGGGGGTCTCAGATCTGGAGGTTGAACTTGAGCTACGACAGAAAATGTGTAGTAACAAGCTGCGTTACGATACTCCTTGTTCGCGAACGTGAACGATGATATTGCAGCGCGCCCTTCCCCTTTCGAAATGCATCCAAGGTATTCCGACGCCCGCCGTGCGCTGTCAAACATGTTCCGATACGGATATCGCCGGGCTCTTACAACGCCTGGCTACAGCTCAGCGTGCGCCCGTGAGTTGAGCGAGCGGCTGCTCTCCGAAGTCCGATGGTATTGCAATTTTGACATCACCAGTGCTGGGCCACATCAGAGCCCCAGCTGGCTCTACCTTTTTCTTGTGGCATCTTCGAGCCCAGTCAGAACAGGGCGCAGCCGGACTTGCACAGAGAAGGAAAGGAGGAGGAGGAGGAGGAGGAGGAGGAGGAGGAGGAGGAGGAGGAGGAGGAGGAGGAGGAGGCGAGCTCAGCAGGCTCGCGCGGGCGTCACAGCGGACCGCTGTTGACGCCGCCGGCGGTGGCTCTATACCTCTGAAAAGCCACCGACATTGGTCGAACGCCTCCAGTGACCCGCCGCGCTGCAGAGCGGGGCCGCGCGCGCCGCGGGCCACCCCACGGCGAGCGGACGCGCGCCGCGGTCTGCGTCAGTGTGCGCGCGAGGGGCTGCCGCCTCGCGTGTGCGCACCTGAGGAGCCGCGGGCACCGTCTCCGTCACGTTGCCTCGTCGCTCGCCGCCGCCGTCGCCGCCGCCGTCGTCGTCCGCGTCGTCGCCGCCGCCGCCACCGCCACCGCCGCCGCCGTCGTCGTCGTCGTCGTCGTCGTCGTCGTCGTCGTCGTCGTCGTCGTTGTCGGTCGTCGTCGTCGTCGTCGTCGTCGTCGTTGTCGTCGTCGTCGTCGTCGTCGTCGCTGTTGTCGTCATCGTCATCGTCATCGTCATCGTCACCGTCGTCGTCGTCGTCGTCGTCGTCGTCGTCGTCATCGTAGTTGTCGTTGTCCTCGTTGTCGTCGTCGTCGTCGTCGTCGTCGTCGTTGGAGGTTCTAAGATGTTTTCGTCGCTTGTCGGCGGCTTTCCAATCTCAGGGTGCCGTCCTGCGGCTGCGCCTCGCCGAGAGCGTTTCGGGGCTGCCCCGATCGTCCCGAACGGCCGCTGGAGGCCGGAAATGTCCCCAAATCACACCTCCTCGTGATGTGAACAAATCACGGCGCGATGTTTGTAACACTTTCCGGCCTCTGGGGGCACTCGCGGGGCCCAGGGGTCGTCAAAAAAACGACTTCGGACGAGAAACGGGTCCTGACGAAAAGGTCTGGGCCGCTGGGTGTCCACGTTCAAAAATTGCAACGTTGGATGTCTGGGTCCCGCTGTCTTCCTTTTCGCTCGATCCCATAGATCATTCCGTTTCCGCTCCCCTCGCCTCCCCTCTCCTCTCTTTTGTTGTTTTTTACCACCTCATCTCTTCTCTTCTGCCTCACCTTCACCCCCCCTCTCCTATCCCACATTCTCTCTTTCATTCCCCTGTGCCCACAACTACGTTTACCTCCCTCCTCTCCTCTCATCTCCCCTCCTCTCCATTTCTTATCCTCCTCCTCCTCCTCCTCCTCCTCCGGCTCAGAGTGCAGCGACCCCTACGGGCGAACGCCCTGAGTTAATTACGGGCCCAAGGGGCCCACTTCCTCGTCGTCGACGTCATCGTCGTCCTCCTCGTCCTCCTCCTCCTCCTCCCCACCCTCCTCCTCCTCTTCCTCCTCCTGCTCCTCCTGCCCCTGCCTGCCCCCCTCTCCTATCCCCGTGTCTGGATGGCGGGGTCCCAGGCAGCCTGGAGTGAATTGGGGCCAGCGTCCGTCTTTCTCGACGCTCCAGCGCTTTATCTTCTGTTTTACGTCGTTTGCTTCGTTTCTTTGTTTCGACTTTGTTTTGCTTTCTTCCTGTTCTGCTTCGTTTTGCTCTTCGCGTTGTTTTGCGTTCGTTGCTTTGTCTGTGCTGCTTTGTTTATTTTTTCCGCGCGTTAAAGGGACCCGATTGAGTTTAGCCGTACGGATTCGATCTGTAATTCGCACAACAGAAATCGATGTGCACATCGTCTACATTAAGAATCTCATTGTAAAGCCGCAGCAAGGATTCTGTGTAACATGCACACTTGGAACCAACTTGTACATTGCCGACAAAAAGAGTGCTATTTTTAAACCGCGCAACAGCATTCGCTGTGCAACCCACACAATGGGAATCAACTGGTAAACCGCCTACAAGACGATTCCCCTTGAAAGGGAGCAGGAAACGTTCCGGAGGAGGGCGAAACCTAACATAACAACATCAAATCACCCACACCATGTTTTGTGTGTGTGTGTGTGCGTGTGTGTGTGTGTGTGTGTGTGTGTGCGGTGGGTGGGGGGGGCGGGGAGACAAACAAAACAACGGTGGGGGATATCATTTTCTTTCCCCCCACCGGGCAAGTTGGGGTTGTTAGATTGTGAGAACAAGCCTCCCGACCCGCCCAGTCCGCATACCGCGGCCACCAAATCCACAAGTCCGCCGAACATCACCCGAGCTTCCCGCTTCGCGCCGACCCGCCCATTCTGCATACCGCGGCCGCCAGATCCCCAGAACCACAGCACAGAGCATTCCATAGCATGGCGAACCATACTATCACAGAGCGTGGCACAACACATTATAAGCCATGAGAACATCGCATAGCGCAGCACCACAAGTTATGACGTAACAAATCATACAGGGTAGGGCATGCCGTCACACACCATAGCATACTATGACAGAGCATATCGCACCATATCGAGACATGCCACATCATCATATAACACATCTCGACAGAGCAGAACACACTACAACATAGCATCGCATCGCAGAGCATCCCATGCCACGACAAAGCAAACATAACAACACAACCCATCCCAGAACTGACCATACGAACATCTGAGAGAGCGCGCCCACAGTAACGGAGCAAAGGGCGGGGTCCCCCCTTAGCTACCCCCCACCCCCTCCCTTGAACCCCCCCTGTTGGAAGCTGCCCCCCCCCCCTCCCTGTTTCGTCCGCCCCTGGAAGCTACCCCCCCCCTCCACCCCTTTCGGCGGTTGGAAGCTACCCCTCCCCCCTCCCCCTCCCCCCCCTTTTCCAAAGGAGGGGGGGGCTTAGCTACCCCCCCCTCTTTGGCCCCCCTCTGCCGGAAGCCCCGCCCCTTTTTTGTCTCCCCCTGGAAGCTACCACCCCCCTTCCCCCCTTTCGCCGCTCCGGAAGTTCCCCCCTCCCCCACTTTCCAAAAGGGGGAAGGCTTAGCTACCCCCCCCTATGAACCGCCCCTGCTGGAAGCTACCACCCCCTCCCTTGAACTCCCCCTGCCGGACGATCCTCCCCCGTCGCCGTTGCCGTCGCCCTCGTCGTCGTTGTCGCCGCTGCCGCCGTCATTGTCGCCGTCTTCGCATGACCTCGTCGTGGTCGTCACGACGAGGACGAGGTCATACGAAGACGGCGACGGACGACGGACGACGGACGACGCGCGACCGACGACGACGACGACGACGACCCAGGGCCAGAGAAAACGAGACCACGACCCAGAGGCTGAGAAAACGAGGAAACGAAGCAGGGTCCGAGAAAACGAGACCACGACCCAGGGGCCGACAAAACGAGACAATGAGAAAACAAACCAGTGCCCGAGAAAACGAAACCACGACCCAAACGAGACAACGAGAACACGAACAACGGTCCGAGAAACCGAGATCACAACCCAAGGGCCGAGAATGAGAAAAACGAGAAAACTAACCAGGGCCCGAGAAAACAAAACACAAGCCCAGAAGCCAAGAAAACGAGAAAACGAGACAATGAACCAGGGTCCGAGAAAACACGATAACGACCCAGGGGCCGAGGACAGGAGAAAACAATTCCGAGCAAACGAGACCACGACCCAGGGCGAGAAAACGCGAATATCGGTCCTAGAAAACGAGACCACGACCCAGGCGCTGAGAAAACGAGAATACTAACAAAGGAATCAGGGCCCGAGAAAACGACACTACGAACCGGGGGCCGAGAAAACGAGGCAACGAGAAAACGAACCATGGTCCGAGAAAACTGGACCACGACCCAGGCGCCGAGAAAACAAGAAACGAGAACACGAACCAGGGCCAGAGAAAACGAGACCACGACCCAGGGGCAGAGAAAACGAGAAAACGAACCAGTATCAGAAATAACGAAACCACGGGGGCAGAGAAAACGAGGAAACAAGAAAACGAACCATGGCCCGAGAAAACCAAAGCACGACTCAGGGGCCGAGAAAGCGAGAAACGAACCATGGTCAAACAAAAAAAAACACGACCCAGGAGCCGAGAAAACAAGAAAACGAGAGAACGAAACGGGGTCCGAGAAAACGAGACCACGACCAAGGGGTAGACAGAATGCGAAAACGATCAAACAAACCAGGGTCCGAGCCAGGGGCCGAGAAAACAAGAAAACGAGAAAACGAACCAGGGCCCCGGAAAAAAAAAACATGACCCCGGGGACGAGAAAACAAGAAAGCAAGACAACGAATCAGGGTCAGAGAAAGCCAGACCACGACCCAGGGGCCGACAAAACAAGAAAACAAGTCAACGGACCAGACGCCGAGAAAACGAGACAACAACTCAAGGGCCGAGACAAAGAGAAAACGAGACAACGAACCGGGGCCCGAGAAAACGAGACCACGACCCAGGGGCCGAGAAAACAAGAAGACGAGAAAACAAGCCAGGGTCGGAGACAACAACGCCACAATCCAGGGGCCGAGAACACGAGAAAGACATAAAGCAAACCAAGGTCCCAGCAAACGAGACCACGACCCAGGCCGAGACAACGCTAATATCGGTCCTAGAAAACGAGACCACGACCCGGGCGCCGAGAAAACGAGAAAACAACACAAATAATCAGGGACCGAGGAAACGAGACTACGAACCAGGGCCCGAGAAAATGAGGCAACGAGAAAACAAACCAGCGTCCGAGAAAACGAAACCGCGACCCAGGGGCCGAGAAAACGAGACAACGAGTAAACGAACCAGGGTCCGAGAAAACTGGACCACGACCCAGGCGCCGAGAAAACAAGAAACGAGAACACGAATCAGGGCCAGAGAAAACGAGACCACGACCCAGGGGCAGAGAAAACGAGAAAACGAACCAGTATCAGAAATAACGAAACCACGGGGGCAGAGAAAACGAGGAAACAAGAAAACGAACCATGGCCCGAGAAAACCAAACCACGACCCAGGGGCCGAGAAAGCGAGGAAACGAACCAGGGTCAACAAAGAAAGAGGACCACGACTCAGGAGCCGAGAAAACAAGAAAACGAGAGAACGAAACGGGGTCCGAGAAAACGAGACCACGACCAAGGGGTAGACAGAATGCGAAATCTATAAAACAAACCAGGGTCCGAGCCAGGGGCCGAGAAAACAAGAAAACGAGAAAACGAACCAGGGCCCCGGAAAAAAAACCACGACCCCGGGGACGAGAAAACAAGAAAGCAAGACAACGAATCAGGGTCAGAGAAAACCAGACCACGACCCAAGGGCAGACAAAACAAGAAAACAAGACAACGGACCAGACGCCGAGAAAACGAGACAACAACCCAAGGGCCGAGACAAAAAGAAAACGAGAACACGAACCGGGGCCCGAGAAAACGAGACCACCCAGGGGCCGAGAAAACGAGAAGACGAGAAAA